TAAAAGGTTCAAGACAACACTTCTTAGTTTTTTTTTTTTTAAATCATTGGTACATTTTATTTATTTATTTATTTATTTATTTATTTATTTATTTGTGTGTGTGGCCAGCTCAGCCCACCAGGGGGCGGGGCTGGCTGGCATGTGGTGCTGGGGGATTGAACCGTGGTCCTTGTGCTTTGGCCAAGCTTGTTCTAAGTAGGTGCTTTAGACCACTGAGCCATCTCACCGGCCCCAAGACAACACTTCTGACATTGCCAGTCCTACAGATAACCTACTACTATGGACTACTGGACTGTATTGGATTATTTTGCTGAATTCACACACTTACAATATTTAAATGGCAATCGAATACCCATCTCAGACAAAGATAAACAAAAAAAGGGGATACAAATGAAGGACCATTTTGTATCTGTATATATCAAATAGGATAGATATACAGCTACTTTCTTTTAATTCAATGAGAAGAAAGATTTGTACTAATAGTGTGTGGACAGGATATCATGTCTGCATCTTGTACTATGAATAACCACTACGAAGACAACAATATGCAATGTATTAATTATTGAAACTGTCCTACTAATTGGTTTTGAAACTGTCTCATTGTTATTTGTTTCTCAATAAAATTAATTAAAAAATGAAAGTATCATGTCAAGTATTTTACTCACATAATGTTCCATGTAACACTTTCACGTGGGCGTCTCTGGGTATCACAGGGGTAAAATATGCCTACACCACACTTTTGTTTTGCCTTAGGTGTGATAATTGAAGTAAAAATTATATTTTTTGTAGAGTTCTACTAGTATTTTCATTGTCATTCATGAAGAAATTTCTTTCTGTTATTTTTTAGACTTTGTAAACAAAAAAAACCCTTGATGTTGAAAATTTCTATACCTATATATAAACACTCCATAAATATTACATATTCAGTATCTTATTTTTGAATATTTTTCTTGTGAAGTACACATTCTTATTGCAGTAAAATGCATAAAACTAAAAATAATAATTCATCAATATAAATACCTGTAAAAAATAAGCATGAGGGCCGGCGAGAGAGCTCAGTGGACTAAGCTGGGGTTTGATCCTTGGTCCCACATGACACACTGGCCCTATCCCTGGGCACACTGAGCCTGCCACCAAGACTTGGCATGGTGATGCATGCCTGCAATCCTAGCACTGGGGAGGTTGAAACAGGAGGAGCACTACAAGTTTGAGCTGCATAGTGAGACCCTGTACCTAATACATTAAAAAATAATAATAATAAAATGAAAAATAAATGTGGGTGCTATTCACTCTCTATGATGCTTTTTTACCCCCAAATTGATATAATGCCCCAAAGTATCTATGGGGTCTATATTGTTATTCTCCTTCATTTCCACTGTTGATATTAGTGTCTTCTTTTTATATTTGTCAGTCTATCTACAAGTTTACTGATGTAATTATTTTCCTCTTTCAACTTCAGTGATGCCTGCTCTTGTCTTTATTGCTTCCTTTCTCTGCCCTGGGCATTCCTTTTGAAATTGTCATGCTATCACTCCTTAATTCTTAGCCGCCTAACTTTGTTTCAATTCTTAGATGGTAGTAGTACATGTCCTACCAACTAGTCAATGATAATGATGGTGATGACACATATGTAATGAGTTTTGAGCCCCTGCCTCTATGAAAATGTCCTTGTTGGTCATACATGAAAGTTTACTTAGTTAGGCATGAAATTCTTAAGCTATCATACATTTTCCTCAAAAAACTCTACAGATGTATCTTCATTATCACTTAGAATTTGGCACATAGAAGTACTTGCGGCTAATCAATTAGAAAACGGACGTTTCTCTCCCACTAGTGATTTTTTAATTAAAAGCTTTTGCTAAAATGCTTAGAAATGTGTGTTAATTTTCAATAATTTTAACCTAGAATATAGTCAGTGTATTTAATCTCCAGCTCTTTTGCTCAGCTCAAGAGAGATGTATTAGATGATGTATTACTATTGCTTCATGTAATATTTCTGATTATGTACAGTTCTGATTTCTCCTTTGTAAATGCCTTTAAATGGTGATTTGCCATTCCTTATTTTACACACACACACACACACACACACACACACACATACACATGTGTGTGTATATATATATATTCAATTTTGATTGTTTTTATTTCTTTCTCTGCAGTTTATAATGCCATATTATTTTATTACCTTTTATCTCAGTTTACTCTCTTGATTTCAGATATTTTGCTTTTATTTATTGGTTACGTATTTGTACTTGTATTTCTCTGAATATGTCTATTAGATTTATGACATCTTATTCTGCTTCTTACAATAAATAGGATTTTCTTACATGCTCCCTTTTGTTTTGTTTTTCAGTAAGCATAATTAATTGCACTGGTTTTGTTTTCTTTACTCTGAATGGCCTAGGATAGAGCCCCCCACACAGATGAACTTCAGCATAATTTGTTTAATGAGTACTGGGTAAGGAAGGTGAGACCTTGACAGACACTGGGTATGTGAGTTAGCATTAGCTCTGATTTTACCCTAATTATGTAATAGTTTGATTTCCTTTTCAGATCCACAGCTGTAATGGAAACTAGTTTCCAGTTTCCTTGCTAGGTTTTGAACTCATGCGTCTCCTTTCTATTATGGTGACCTTTCTCCCTGAGTCTGATGCTTCCCTGTCTGGTACTCTAAGCTGAGGGTGAAGCATACTTCCTATGGTTACAAACTTCCTTCCTGTGTCTGTGGTCACCTAGCACGGTGTCCCCATGGTTAGTGATCCCATGCACAAGGTTCAAGTTAAAGTATGCCTTTTGTCCTTTCTGTGCAGTTGATACCTGGCACTAGACCTTTGGATGTAGGAAAACACTGTTAAGACCAGAGATGTTTGTGAGAAGAAAGGAAGAGTACTTAGCTATGAACAGCCATAGACAGAAAAAGTGTCATCTCAGTTTGCTGGGTGGTATAAACTGGAGTCTCTAAATCAGTTGTGGTATAAAATATAGTATCGTTTAATTTTTCATCATTTTTTTCTGTATGCCCATTTAATTTATTGGGAAGTAAGAAGGTATTAGTGACCTACCACCCAAAACTATTTTATGTCAGGTCACCATTTCTAAAATGTTTTTTAAAGTATTAGGATTTATTGTAAAATCCAGCCAGAACTCAGGCATTTATTTTGAATGGAGACACAGTGTTGTTTTTTCTTATCGTATGTCCCTCCTCCTACGCACACTTACACATAAATATGCCAAATTAAATACACTGTACACTTACTCCAGACAGCTGATAAAGGACTTTTGTTGAAATAACTTCCAAATATTTATTAAAGTAAAATAATAGCAGCTGTTGCCAAAAAAATCATCCCCAAATCCAAATATTCACGACCAACGCTCCCCAAAATCATTTCATATCAACTCATGTTTTCATTTTGTTCTAACGCTGACCTGAAGTTCTTTACCAAGTCACCCCTGAGTTATCAACTTCACTCACTTGTGGGTTCCCAGCCCAATTAGCAAACCCTCGTGGGTTCTATTATGCTATTTTCACCAGGATCCTGCAGGCTTCTGTGTCCGGTACAACCTCTCTCTACTCTGTGGTTCTTCGTAGGCGAATTGTTTTGCAGTTCTTCAATGTCAAATGATTTATTTTCAAAATAAAAATTGATAAACAAATTGTAAGGGGAAAAGTGTGTGCTTGCCTCCCAAAACAGATGACTGTAAAATGCCAGAAAAACTCTTTGGCCCCTGATTTATTACCTACAATAATCCAATGTTACATATTGATCTCAACCAATACCAAACCTCTTTCCTTCTTAGTTGAGAAAGCATAGCTAGGGAGATTGTATTGTTTGTATATTTCCCAAGACAGGGAAGTATTCAATTTAAAGCTAAAAATAAAAAAAATAAAAATCTTAGGAAGACACAGGGTGTTTATACATGGTTATGCGCTTTTAAACTTGAAACACTTTTTGGCAGTCATCTGAGTGATCAATTTTCTTCACTCTCTATTGGCATTGTTTTTAAAAAGTGGTTACCCTGCTCCAAGCAAGGGCCACGTTGCTGTTCGGAGGTCCAGTCTTTCTTTGAACAATGGCTCATGCAATCATGTTTTCTCAGGTCTCTTAGAAGTTATAGCAATAAGAAGCAGCAGACAGTTCTGTCCTCTGCACCCTAAAATCACATTTCTCACGTGGCAAGACAAGGAAGGGAAAAAAAATCATTGAACATAAAATGAGACCCCATATCTGCCACCCTGTGAGGTCATGTCTGTGCAGCAGATTGGAGTCAGGGTAAGTTTTTCTAATGGAGGCCGGAGTGATTTGGCGATGACATAAAGGGGGCCTGATATGGGGCTGTCAACTTTCTCCTAAGTGACAAGACTATTTGAGAAAAACAAAAAAGCATCCAATCAGTTCACCCTCCTGGGTTACCCAGGGCAGAAATGGAGTTGAGCTATGTTTGAATCACCTGCAAAGCATCTCTCGGATCCCTTTCACAGCCGGTGCTGATGTGAAAATTAGATCGCATCATTCTCACCTCCGTCACTGGATGGAGGATGCAGTTTTCTTAGAAGTTTATTTTCACCCTACACCCAAGTGTAATTGTCCTTCCATTGCCACTGTTAGCTCATCAGATAAACATTAGAATACAAATACTTGTACATATGTTTTGGGGAAAAAGAGTTGGTGTCACTGTTGGGTGAAGAATGTGATGGGAAAAACTCTCTGACTTAACAGGCACTTTTGTTGAAGAAGACTGGGTATGGCCTGTGGGACAACAGGGAACAGGAACCCAGTCCAGACTTGCAGCTAAAAGACCATCTCCAGAGGGTGGGAAAAGCTTCCAGAAATTAGAAAAGGAAGATAGAGTGACAGAGAAGAGAGGACATAGTGCTGAAGATGTCCCTAGGAGTTTCTCATGCTGAGTAGCAGGAGGATACCTTCGATAATGGGATTGAGTAATGTTGCATCTTAAGGTCTTCATCATGTTTTACAGTTGATTCTTTTGATTTGCCCTAGGTGTGTTCCATGAAGTGGCCATGAACACTGAAGCGGGGATACTGAGTCTTTGCTTTGAGAAGAAGGACAGAATTGGGCTCCTGTATGACTCTGACCACACCACTGAGTTACATTTCCAGCCTTTTTTCTCTGTTCTTTGCCCCCCCCCCACCTTTTTGAGAAAAGTTCTTGCTACATCACTGAATTGCCTAGGCTGGGTTCCAATTTGCAGTCTTCCTGCCTCAGCCTCTGAGAATGCTGGGATTAGAGGCATGTGCCACCATGCCTGGCCAAGGCATCTTATTTAATATATATTGCTGATGCATTAACAGTAAACTCAGTCAATAACACTGTAACACATGTCTGCACAAAGCTTATTTAATACAAGTAATGTCTCCAGTGGGCATGTCACAGGCTTCTAAGCTTTAAGGACATTCAGTACTGCTCAGGGCCATTTTCAACATTAAAATCACCAACAAAAATTCCACAAAATGTGGCAAGTGTGGCTCTGAGCAATCTTGTAAAGGATAACTGCTTACCTCAGCCAGGATCATATACAGCAGATGATGAATATTTTGCCATCCCGCCATTGCCCACGAATGACGACAAATAAGGTGTTTAACGTGAGCATGTCTCATTTAGCACTGGGGATGTTGCAATGCTAATGGGGGTGTTAACTGGGTGTCCCATCTGTCTGGCAGCCCTACTGTAAGAGCCGTGATTGACCTGAGTTCCAGGATAACTTTTTGTGCTGTTAGTCAGAGTTTCATTCAGAGATTTGAGCCCCTGCACTGTAGAAACTGAGATTTTAGAAGCGTCATTAATTCCTTCACAAATGTTAAAAGAACCCAGAAGGGAACATTCAAGAGAGAAGTTGAAGGAGCAGAGTCACCAACCCACTGAGCTGAGACCCAGCACTTCCGGCCACCAAGTGTGGCCCAGGGACCTGGAGAGGGATGTGGGAAGCTGAGTGGGTGTGCATCCACCACCTCTCAGCAATGGCCACCATGTGTGGGGAGGCTGGGGATGACTCACATGTGCCTCACACTGTGCCTGTGGCCATTAGACAGTGGTGGCTCCTACCTCACCATGGCCTCCAAGTGTAAAACACTTAGGAGTAATGTGCATGTGAATCGGGTGGTGTCTGGGAGCAATACAACTTAAAAATTTACAAAGGGATGGAAAAGCAAATTGGTATTTGGATCAATGGAAATATGAACCATATCCTTCCATGGAAACTCAGTATTGTATACCTGTCAATTGTTTTGTAAATCTGGTACAGTTCTGCCAAAAATTTTAATATTATTATTGTTGAGGCCCATCAAAATTATTCTAAAAATCACCTGGCAGAATAAACAAAGAGGAATAATAAACAACACTTAACAAGGAGGAATAATTAAGGAATTTGGCTTTCTCCAATGTTAACAAGACAATAAAGTTATGATAAGTGAAACAATGCAGACACGCCAATCACTGGAAAGGAATATCATGATAAAAAATAGATAGATAAAAATGATTTCATAAAAACAGAGCTTCAAAATGAGAAAATGAATAAATTATTTGATACATTATACAGGGGGCAAGTAGCTGACCATTAAGAAAAAGCAAAGCTAAAGTTCAAAAGCACGTCACCGGCATAACTTTCGGATGACTTTGGGGTATGAAGCACCAGGAAAATGTAAATATTATGAATACGGTGTATTTAATTTTAAGGTGTGGAAGACCTTTAAAGCATGATGGCACAGACAAAAATTGTAGAAGAAATATCAGTGAATTCATTGCATGAAAGCAAACATCATATAGCAAAAATTGCCCAAGTCAACCATGAACAATGACAAGCTATAAAAAGTGTTCATATTTTTAATAAAAATGTTTATATTCTTATTGTATACAACTCTTTACAACATAGAAAAACAAGCAAAATATGTGAGCACCCTGGCAGGGCAGCAAACGCCTGTAATCCCAGCACTCTGGAAGGTCCAGCCAGGAGGATGGCAAGTTCAAGCCCAGCCTGGGAAACTTAGCAAAATTAGTGAGACTCTGTTCCAAAACTTAAAACTTTTAAAAAGGGTTTAGGAGGTAGCTCAGTGCAGAGGCTCTGGGTTCTCCTCAATGAAGAAAAAATAAAAAGAGAATAAGTTATCAACAAAATCTTGGAGTCCCAAAATTAATATACGTGGAAGCCCTCATCCACAGTGTGATGCTATTTGAAGATGAGGTGTTGGAAGATGGTTAGGGCCAGAAGGCAGAGCTCTGGGACAGGACTAGAGCCCTTCTAGGAAGAGACTTGCAAGAACTTGCTCCTTTCTGTGCCTCATGAGGACACAGAGAGAGGACAGCCACCTGTCCAGACTTGCTGCCACTTTGGTCTTGAACTTTGGGGCCGGCGAGCAGGTATCTGCTGCATGTTGCAGACCCGTCCGTGGCTTTATGCTATAGTGGCCTCAACAGACTAAGCCTCTCCTCCCCAAAGTATGAGTAAAGCACACAATTAAATTAATTCAGGGTCACTAAGTAAAAGTAGAACGAGGCAACTTTTCACCGCCAGGTGCGCTAAGAGGATGGGAAAGATGGCATTCACAGCTCGGCCCCTGCTTCCACAAAAGGGGAGTAAACTGGCCTAAATGTTTAAAGGGCACGTGGGTAGAGTGGATACCAAAAGCCAGCAGTGGATAGTAAAGGTCTTTAAGGTACATTTGGACATGGTGGCACATACCTGTAATCCTGGCACTGTGGGAGGCTGAGGCAGGAGGATTACAGTGGACAATTTGAGCCCACCATGGACAATTTAACAATTTAGTGAGACCCTATCTCAAAATGAAACATAAAAATGAGCTGAGGGTATAGCTCAGTGCTCAGATCCTGGGTTCAATCTGTAGGATTGAAAAAAAAAATCTTGAACATTTACAATGAGCAAATTCCATTCTAGTATTTTTCTAAGGAGTTAGTATACATATTTTTCTTTTTCTTTTTCTTTTTTTTTTTTAAGTAGGGAAACAAAGTAGTCATCCTTTATTTCCAAACTGCAGAAACAATGAGTTGCATTTTCTAGAATTATAAACATTTCTTATTGTTTATTGTTGCAGCATATCCATATTTTTCATTTTAAGAACTTTTTGTCATAGTTTTATTTAAAATAAATTTCAGGCCTGGGGAGATACCCTGGTGACCTAAGCACCTGCCTGGCAAGCACAAGGACCCCGGTTTGATCGTTAGTACCTCATGCCGAGCTGGGCCCAGAAACCCAGGCATGCTGTGCCAGACACCGAAACCGGAGATGGGGGCACATGCCTGTAATCCTAGTGTTGAGAAGGGTGAAACAAGAAGATCACTATGACTCTGAGCTGCATAGTGAGGCCCTGTATCAAATAAAGAAATAAATAAATATTTTAAAAATAAGTTTCAAATCATGAGAGGCTTGGTCCAATAAAGAATGATGCATGCAAACAATTGAGTAGCATGCAAGATGTTTTTAATACACGGAGAAGTATCTACTGTATACAAAGTAACTTAAGCGGGAAATCAGTTTATAAAACAATGTCTTCAGCCACTCATATTCATAGTCATTCCTTAATTTAATGGATGTTTATTAAGTTCCAGTGTCTGCTGAGCATAGGACGGTGATGACAGAAACCATGCTGGAAGAATCCGTGTCCTGTTCTCAACTCTCTTCAAACAGAAATACAAACCATGGTGTGCGCACGGACACCCCGCCACACACACACACGGGAACACATGGGAACACACAGAAAAATACCGGGAGAATATTCACCAAATTATTAATCGTAGTTATCTCTTGGTACATGCAGGGTTTTTTTTCTTCCACTGTATTTAATTCTTTTCGTTTTGTTTTTTGGGACAGAGTCTCCATATGTTCATTTTTGAGCTGGCCTCAAGCTCATTCTGCAGACCAGACTGGTCTTGAACTCGCAATGATCCTCCTGCCTCAGCTTCTCCAGTGCTGGCTGGGGTTGCGGTTTTGTTCCACCAAGCCCCATACAGTCTGCATATGTTGCCCAGGCTGGCCTTGGACACACTGGGATCCTCTTCCCTCAGGTTCCCATCCATGGGTGCCATGACACTCAGCGGCTTTACTTAATCCTGGCTTTAAAATTTTGGACAGTGAATTTATTTACTTATTTTTTAATAATAAAGATCAGATGGCAGCCCAGGTCTGTAATCCCAGCACTCTGGGAGGCTGAGGCAGGAAGACTGCAAGTTTTAATGTAGTCTGAGCAATTTAGCAATTTAACCAGACCTTGTGTTAAAACAAACAAATACAGAACTGGCCAAATAGCTCAGTAGATTAAAACGCCTACAAGCAGGCACAGGGGTCGGAGGTTCAATCCCTAGGCCTGCTGTGCTGGCCTCACCGTGGGGATGTGCTGAGATGGCAATTGAGACTGGTGGCACATGCCTGTAATCCCATCTCTTGGGAGGCTGTAAACAGGTGAATCACTAAGAGTCCGATCTAGTAGTTAGAACCTGGACACCCTGTAGACCCCTCCCTAAAATACAAAACAAAAAACAAAAACACAAACACGAAAACAAAAGGGGGAGGGAAGTGCAGGGGATGCAGCTCAGTGCCAAAGCCCTGGGTTCCATCCCTCGTACCAAAAAAGAAATCGTAAAATGCTGGTTATCACTCTGCTATTCTTCTTTCCCTCCGAGGCTGTCAAGCCACTTTTCCTCCTCTCTCAGCAGTGTAGTACATTTTTATTTGGAATCAGAATTGAAAGTCACTTTCACCCAGCACAATAGATGTCCAAGACTGAGGGAGGCTGGAGCCTTGAGGAGAGTCGCCTCTTCGGGTCACCAGAGCCACCACCACCACCCCCGCCCCCAGAACGCCCATGGTGAGCACCCGTCCCTCCCTCTGCCACTGTCCATCTCCAGGGCTGCTCCTTCCACCGCTGCAGAGCAGACCCGGCTCCTTAGCCCAGGTGCAACCAGACCTCGCGGGTGGGTTACTGGGCTCTTCTTAGCCCGCCCTGTTCTGTGCCCTGGGGTCCGCCCACCCCACCTCAGATCTCCTCAGACCACTCTCCCTCCAGGTGGCTTCCTGCCAGGTTTCCCCAGGGGCGAAGCTCGTGCCTGCTCTGGCGTTCTTCCCTTCGTGTCTCTCAGAGCGCAGGGACTCAGCAGTGTGCACTCACCTGACTCACAGGGCTCTCTGCAAACCAGCAACTTCAGAGGGCTACAGGGTACAAGTGCGCTTGTCGCCGCAGTCTATTTTTTTTTCTGGCCGAACAGGGGATTGAACT